AATAATAACCACTCATATATTTCATCAAAACAAAGTTAGGACATTACTATTTTTCATCATTTTTATAGTGTGCGAGACAACAATAATTAAATAAGGAAAATAGTGTGTATTCTTTCCTACAAAATTGTATATATTGTTCAAATGGATTTTGAAAAAAGAAGTGTTAAGTGACATTTTCATGTGTTTTCAGAAGAGTAGATATTAAAATATAACTGCCACAATTTAGATAATAAATAAACACATTCCAAAGATACATGCTTATTTTGTTACCACTCCTAAACAATCTCACATGGAGGAATCTCCTAATTGCAATAAAATGTGGTTCTTATAACAAGGCAAATTGATGAAATGGGTAGGTACAAAAATGTTGAATCTGTCAACATTAATAACCTATATGTATAAGTGTTGTATTAAACTTTTTATTATATATACGCAAAGGATTGTTTTCAATAGATTCATTAACTTATACTGCTTTAATCATTTACAAACTAAATCAAAGGTTTGTTGGTGTAGCTACACAGAGATTGATTAATAAAAACAAAGGAAAAGTAGGTCTTTTCAAGTGTGGAAATGTTATTTGTATACGCTAAGAGCTTGCATTATAAATGTAAAAAACGAACAAATTATTATCAATCATTCCATTGTTCTTGTTTACATTTATAATATCCGGATTCAAAATAAAATCTGACATAATCTAATCTTATTTTTGAAGCGATTACCTAGCAACCTTTATACTCACGGCGTGCGATAAAGACCCGATTATGCACGCTTTTGGGTTTGTTTGGAATGGTATATGATAGACGAATACTAAAAAAATATTTATTTAATCTTCCTACAAACGGATCAGATCCCACTTCTGATATTTATTTCTTTAATTCGGTATAATTTTTTTATTAAATTAAACAAAACTTCGTAAAAAAGAACCAGAAACGTTCAGTATTTAAACCATCTACATTCGACATAATAATGACACGTGACAAGACTAGGGAAATGTCAAATATCAGTGTAGACGGCTACCAACTTAAAAGTGGCGGTAAATTTAAAAATTTAAAGTGACCTTTACAATATATGTACAAGTTTTTTAATAAATTTGTCCGAGATAGCGGGAAATAAAACATTAAATTTTGTCGAGATTCAATTCTTGTCACTTTAAATACAAGTTGTTCCAATAACTGAAAACAATCAATTTGGTAGTTAATAAGTTTATACAGGAATATTAACGACTGAGCTTTGCCTTTGGAATTTATTTAAAAGCGATGAGTCATTTATCCCAATTGGTGGATGTCTATCGTAATGACAAGAATTTTATATATCGTCTTTAAACGTTTTCAAGAGCGCTTATGTGAATATCATAAAATTGTTTCCATATTAATAAAGCATATTCTAGTTTTGATTTGACGAACGCATTGTACAATATATTCACTAGTAATACCACTAGAGGTCAAATTATTTCCGGAAATTTTTTCGAGCTCATGAAATTTTCTAAAAATATTCATGAGCGAGAAAAAATTTCCTGATATTAATTTGACCTCGCGTGGTATTCGGTAAGAAAATTCCACGCCGAATTATGGTTGAAAATTAAATATTTTTAAAATTTATTTTTCGTTTCTCAACAATGCAAATTATTTTCTCCAAGTCACCAGTGAAACATAAAAGGTGTTGTCGCCTTGATTGTTGAGTTGTCATGGTAACTAAGTGAGACCCTAACCTCGAATATAATTTCAGTTTTGAAGTTGTCAAGCGGCCCGACGTTAAAAATGTTTCGCTGCAATTATTTAGGCCTTCAAATTGCTTATTTCTACTCAATGTAGTTGCATGGGAATACCATTTGAAAATAGAAAATAGTATATTCTTTAATTTTACGTAAGTTTTGAATAACTACAAGTGGTAGAAAATTGTTTTTCTGCGTTTTTATTAACATGCGTTATGAGCGCTTTAAAATGGTATGAAATTCATAACCAGCGTCAGCAAGCATCAATCGTAGGAGGCTGTGATCATTGTATTTTGACAGTTTAAAACATAAATAACTCGCGTTTTGTTGCGATAAAGAATATTGCACAGCAAGTAAAACCAACAAAATTACCTATTTGTTTGAAAATGAATCGATTTGAAAATCATACGCTATGCAAAATATGCGTGAAATTGTCTGATGTAATGATCAATCATTGCACCATGACTTACTCGGATTAATAGAGGATTGTGGCTCCAACTTGAAAAACGAAAATTTGTTCCGAAATGTACACGAATATTTGCACCTAAACTACGCAAAATTCAAATTGCTGCGATTGGGAAAGAGGTGAATAAATTAGTGTCTAAATGTTATATATATTTTATTAGACATAGACACATAATTCAAAGCATCCAAAGTTCTGCATTTTCGCCATTAAGAAGAAAAGAAGTGGCCGAAGAATATAGAAAACACCTTATCATTGTAACTAAAATGTATCAAAACTAAACCTATTATGTGAACAAATAAAAACCAGTCTGTCAAAAATGGTCTGTTATTGTAAACGTCAAAAAATTTCCAGTATAATTCGCTGTTGGGTACCCCACGAGAAAAAAATTTCCACTAAAATACCTCCGTTGCCATGGTGATCTGTCAAAAACACGTATTTTGATTGGTTCAAAATTACATGTGTGGAATTTTCATGTTTATAGAATTGAGATCATTTAGATGTTCACTAAAAGTAAGTTTTCTATCAAACTTTACACCTAGATCTATAACAAAATCAGGCCTGTTTAATATAACGCCACCCAAACAGTAGTTATAAAAAATTGGAAAATCTTTTTTGGTATATGACGACGCTATATTACATTTTTTTCTAATTTAATGGAAGATTATTTATTAAACACCAATTATTTATTTTATTAATATTATTTTTGTAATTTAAGACAATCATTTAAGTACCTGATAAAAAATTTTGACATCGTCTGCTTAAATTAAATATTTTACGTTAACGTCATTAATGATGTCATTTACGAATAGTATAAATAAAAGCGGTCCCAGAATCGAGCCTTGAGGTACAAAAGACGTAATTAATGTATCGGCAGACTCAAATCCGCGCACTTCAATAAACTGGGTTCTTTTTGTCAAGTAATATTTTATGATCGAGTTTGTCGAAAGCCTTAGAAAAATCTGTATATATTACGTCCAGTTGACCGCTGCCATCAACTATTTTAGAAATGTATTGTGTAAATCAGAAAAGATTTGTTATAACAATAACCATGTTATTCTTCCACTATCTGACGTTTGACGTATGGTATTATTTTATCGTATAGTAAAATTTCAAAAACTTTGGCAAAATTACATATAATAGTGACGAGTCGATAGTTCTCAATACAACTTTACCTTTTTTACTTTACTTTCCGTTTTGAGGTCCCCTGAATCCGTTTTGACTATTTTCGCGATGATGTCTGTGTGTGTGTGTGTGGATGCGTGCGTGCGTGCGTGCGTGCGTGCGTGCGTGCGTGCGAGCGTGCGTGCGTGCGTGCGTGCGTGCGTGCGTGCGTGCGTGCGTGCGTGCGTGCGTGGGTGTGTGTGTGTGTCTGTGTGTGTGTCTGTGTGTGTGTCTGTGTGTCGCATAACTCATGAACAGATACACAGAAAAACACCAAATTTCAAACTTAAGCTTTGTTCCAGCGTCCAATGTGCTGATTAGATTTTGGGCAGTGTCGGAACATCTGTGGGGTACTTTATAGGTGGTCATTTTTATATTTTATGGAATATATCTGTTACTTACGTTTGGGGAAGAAAATTCTTCAAATAAAAGTTACTTCTTATATTATTCTCTATAATATTATTTATTTATTTATCCTATACATAATTTCTCTAAAATGGACCGTATTCGAGATATTTGAGAAAATGTGTAAATTTCGAAATTTGAAGAAAACTCAAAAACGGATACAGAAAAAAACATTAAATTTTAAACTTAAGTTTTATTTCGGCCTGACGTAAAATGATTAGATTTTGGACAAAGTCGGAACATCTGGGTGGGTATTTTATGGAATATATCTGTTATTTATGTTTGGAGAAAAAAATTGTTCAAATAAAAGTTATTTCTAATATTATTATCTATAATTTTTGTTTTATGTCAAAATTTCCTGAAATGGTCCGTATTCGAGAAATTTGACAAAATGTGCAAAATTCCGATTTTTATGAAAATTGTTGAAATAAAAGTTGTTTGCGATATCGATCTCTATAATTTTTGTTAATACATAATTTTTCTAAAATGGACCGTAATGGAAAAATTGTAGGAAAAGTGCTAAATTTAAATTTTTCAGTATTTTCATTTTCAATGAACCTCTATAGAAAAATGTTTCGAGGTAGATGTATGTGGAAAATGTATATATTTATTTTATCCTCTAAACATTTATGGAGGTGCTGCAATAGGTTGTACAAAATAACCGGAAAAAGCCTGTATTAACTAGATAGGAAAGTCATGTGTTGGACATATCAGATTTTTAAAAATAGGACAGATTTTTAACCTCTTCCATGCATTAGGAAATGTACCGGTACGCAGTGACAAATTTTAATATTGTATTTAAAAGTATAGCTAATGCATAAAGGATGGTATATTATCTGGTCCCTTAGTAAATTTAGATTTTAACTTTATTATTGCCTTCGACACAACAGATTCTTTAAATTCAGCTATATTATGCACATGTAAATTATTTGACGAATCACTCTCAAAGTCAACATCAAAAGTTGATGAATTACTGTAGGAATTTTTAATGAAGCAAATCCATTCCCAATATCTATCCTGCATGTTTGAAATATTTAAATCATTATACGTCATAAATTCAGGTATTCCACCATCTTTCCTTTTAGAATTTACGTATGACCAAAAGTTATGTTCAATTCATGATTCCTTCAATTACCTATGTTTTGTTGTGCAATCAGTGTCACAATTTTCAATACAGTCTAAAAGTTGCTAAAATCAAAAGTAACAATTTGTAGTTAAATACTTGTTTGGGAATTCAGTTTTGCTTAATTATTATCAATATCTTATCCCGCTAATATAAACAATAATGTTGTTGAACTAAGGCAGGGTTAAAGGCTATATTTTTATTAATATCAACTTAATAATAGTTTGACAAACGCAATTATTCAGTTACAATTAAAAAGTTGATGTACCCAGTTTAGTATTTGGAATTTAAAAGCTCAAGTAAGTCATAAGTAAATAAATATATTTTTTATATAAACTTTAATAGATTTTGATAAAAAATAATTTCAAGAAAACAAAAATGTAAATTTATTTCTAATGAAAATTAATTGGGACACTTTGGTTAAAATAAAATAGTAATACTCGAATATTTAAATATATTTTGTAATAACAATTTAACATTTTTTGCAATTTAAGTTATTACGATATTTTCGCGGTTGCAGATTTTTAAATAAATAATAATAATTGTTCCAGAATGAATTAATTCCTATTTTATTATTTAAATATTCGCGCTTTGTCTCAAATCGCTTACTTAAAACTTTGGCCCACACATGCGCTTCGTCTGACTGTAAGACAAGTGAAACGCCGTTGGACGAAGAGTACTACAGAAATTGCCGCGACGAACGCTTTGTGGTGTGTATGTGCCGTTAAATCCGCTATTATAAATCCTGTATAATAAACGTTGTTATATAAATTGTGTAACCGGGCCCGGTCTTGGCTACTGGACTAATACTACCACCTACTTCATCCGACGAACCATATGATGCAGCACAGAAGGTAAGCGCGTTTGAGACACGTTTATCTTATTTTTTTCGACTGTTACAATCAGCCCCTTTTTTACGTAATATTCCAATCATTCTATTACATTTTTTTGGTCCTTCGAGTACTTTAATAACAGTTAGAATTAAATTGTTGCATTATTATAACTGTGGGATTTTTTTTTGCGAAAAATTCGATTTAAAATTTTCTTTATTTTTTAAATTATCAAAAGCGCTATTCAAAATTATAGCATATCTGCTAAAATTAATCAGTTCTTACTAAAAAAAAATCATTTAGTTTGCATACAATATTATTTCAATAAGTATTAAATTTATTGAGTTAATTGTAAAATTTATCAGGTAGACATATTGGTCATTTTTTTAGTCGAGTCGTGCTCAAGTTGTTCGACATCGGTAGTGTACACAGGTTCCAATCAATCGGCCTTCAAGTGGCCTTCATTTATTATTATTATCGCCTTTTCGCTAATTGTCGCTCTGTTTATCAATCACCGCTTTGTCGTTTACTCCGCTACCGTATATTTCGTTATTTTTGAAATTTGTGAAAAATCGCCCGCCTTTTCGCCGTGTTTCGTATCGAGGTGAGCTTGATACCGCTGCCGCTACATTAATATTGCCTTTTGATCAGCTGATACAAATAAATTTGGTTTTAATTTTGTTTTGCTTGCGATTCGATTTATTTAATTTATTACAATGGTTGAAAAACTTGTTAAATATAAAACTTTAAGAACTTCTTGCTTAAATGAAATAAACGTAATTAGTATGCTCGCTGATAAAGCGAATAGTAATAAATCATTCAAAAATGTCTTTAAAGTAAGGTGCGCAGATATTGATAGTCTTAAAGAGGATTTTTTTAAACATCATAATAATGTTCTTGCCACATTGTTTGCTATCCCTGAAGATGCTGGGGGCGAAGATGCTACCAAAGAAATGTTTTTAGAAGAATTTTATAAGATTAAAGCATTATTTTCGGAATTATTTGAATCTGATACTCAACCAGTAAACGCTAATCAAAATACTGCTTTGCATAATTCTACACTTTTTCATATAGATCCAAATTCATCTCATATTCGTTTGCCGGTGATTGAATTAAAGAAATTTAGTGGCGATTATAGAAATTTTCGCTCATTTATAGACCATTTTAATAATTTAGTTCATGAAAAACCTCATTTATCTAATATTGAAAAATTCGATTATTTACTCTCTTGCTTGGATGGAAAACCATATTCTTTAGTTCGGCATTTGCCTTTAACTTCTAATAATTATCAATTAGCTTATGATACTTTACAAGAGAGGTATGCAAATCCACGAAAATGTGCACAAGCTCATTGGAATGAGATTGACAGCACGTCTAAAATTGAATCGAATAATCCGCACGCTTTAGAAAAATTACTTGATATTTTTAAAGAAAATATTGCCGCTCTAGAAATCTTAGGTTTTCCGGTTGAACATTGGGATTTCATTCTAGCCATGATGTTACTTAAACGACTTGATAATGAAACTAAACTACGTTTCGAACTTGAACATCGTTCTTGTCAGGTTCCTAGCTATAAAAGTCTTATTAAATTCTTAAACGAACAATATTTAGCTTATGATAATATTGATTCGGACTCGCCATCCAGTTCAAATATAAAAAATAAACCTAAGATTATCACACCACGTCCGCGTTCGTTTTTTACGAATACTGGCGCTAAATCGCCTAGTTCTAATTGTATTCTTTGCAAGGAAACTCATTCGCTTTATAAATGTCAGAATTTCGCTTCAAAGTCGCCCTCTGAAAGACATGCCTTCTGTAAATCTAACCATTTGTGCTATAATTGCTTGAGTAGTTCTCATGACCTGAGGTCTTGCAATAGTACTCAAGGTTGTAGATATTGTTTTTCAAAATCACATCATAGCTTGTTGCATTTTGATCGGCAAATATCTCAAAATCACCGCCCTTTGGACCGCTTGCCTCCTACTTCGTCTACGTCTCTGCCAAATTTCACCAGTACTAGTACTTTAGGAAATCAAATTCTTACCGCTCAAGGAGTAATAGAATCAAGTCGAATTTTATTAGCTACCGCCCTTATCGATGTTCTTGATAATCGAGGAATTTACCGCTCATATCGTTGCTTACTAGATTCAGGAAGTATGAGCTCGTTTATTTCCAAGCGAGCTGCTACTCGTCTAAATCTTGCCCAAACCGAATTTTCCGTAGATATTAGAGGTTTAGACTCGATGACATCTACCCTTGACACCGCTCGTGTAGGGGTAACGTGCAAACCCCTTAATCAGCCAGAACCTAAAATATATCTAGATGCTATTATCGTTAATCAAATATGTGATAACCTTCCTGATTCTACATTACCTATTCATAATTGGTCTCATCTTTTAGATCTTAAGCTTGCTGATCCCAAATATTTTACTCCAGGTCCTGTCGATCTGTTACTTGGGGCAGATGTCTTTCCAAAACTATTATTAAATGGACATGTTACCGGAACCATATCTGAACCTGATGCCATTCATACAATTTTTGGTTACGTGATTTTGGGAAAAACTTCTTCAATACCTCGTCCTGTTATGTCCACGTTTTTTTGCAAATCTTCTTGTATTCGAGAACTTAATAATACTTTAACCAATTTTTGGGAAGTTGAAAAAATACCCGAAACTACGACCTTTTCTAGTGATGATGACCTTTGTGAAAAATTGTTTTTAGATTCTTATACCTATACTAATGGTCGATATAGCGTGTCACTGCCCTTTAAGAGTGATCCTCCGCCTTTTGCTGGTATTCGTGACCTTGCTTTATCTCGCTTTCATTCTCTGGAACGCCGATTATTAAAGAATGAAAATTTGTATTTAGAATATTCTGCTTTTTTAAAGGAATTTCTTGACCTTGGCCATATGGAATTAATTTCTGGTCAATCGCTTTCCTCAACCAATGCTTATTATATTCCGCACCACTGTGTGGTAAAGCCGCATAGTATTTCAACCAAATTAAGGGTTGTGTTTAACGCTTCTGCTCATTTACCTAATCAGAAATCTCTTAATGATTGTCTATTTGTTGGACCCAAGTTACAACAGGACATATGTGCTATTTTGTTATATTTTCGCCTTAATGCTTTTGCTGTGTGTGCTGATATTAAACAAATGTACCGAATGATTTTAGTCAATTCGCAAGATTGCAATTATCAACGTATTCTTTGGAGATTTTCTCCAACCCAACCAGTTCGGGATTATCGATTAACTCGAGTTACATATGGAATTAGTAGTGCACCATTTTTAGCGTTAAGAATCCTCAAACAATTAGTGAAAGACCAAGGACACAGATTTCCTCTAGCCGCACATGCAATCGAAAATTACTGCTATATTGATGATTTTGTTTTCTCGTGCTCTAGTTTAAAACTAGCCAAACAGCTGGTTTCTGAGTTGGTTTCTCTTATGAAATTAGGAGGCTTTCAACTACATAAATGGTCAAGTAATAACCTTGATTTGTTAAAAATTCTTCCCGCTTCTGATTTAGCTAAACAACCGCTCGATTTTAATTCGCTTTCTGATGAAAGTTCTATAAAAGTTTTAGGTCTTCAGTGGGATCCTTGTGATGATGCATTCTTCTTTCTTGTTAATCCTGTCCAAAATAAACCTTGTACAAAACGCACACTTCTCTCTGAACTTGCTAGAATTTATGACCCGTTAGGCTTTATTTCACCTATCACATTTTATTGCAAGCATTTAATTCAGAAATTATGGCGTTCTGGGTTAGATTGGGATGTAGTTCCAGATGAGTCTATTACTCAACTTTGGGAACAATACCAGTCAGAATTACCTTTGCTTGCCGATTTAAAAATTCCTCGTCAATATTCTACGTTAATTTCATATTCTAATTATTGTCAATTCGAACTTCATGGGTTTTGTGATTCTAGCGAACGAGGCTATAGTTGTGTAATATATTTTCGTATTAAAGACGAAACAGATGCCGTTCAAGTATCATTTATTTGTTCCAAATCTAAAGTCGCACCTACCAAGAAACTTACTATCCCTCGCTTAGAGCTTTGTGGAGCCGTTCTGCTGACTAAATTAATTCTTTATGTTAAAACGAATTTTTGTAACCAAATTAGCTTTATAAAAATTCGCGCGTGGTGCGATTCTCAAATCGTACTGCATTGGATAAAGGGATGTCCCAATCGCTGGAAAACTTATGTCGCCCACAGGGTATCTTTCATTCAAGAAAATCTCTCTCCTGATAATTGGTCGTATGTGAATACTGCTATTAACCCCGCAGATATAGCCTCGCGAGGGGCTCTTCCTTCCCACTTCTTAACCTATAAATATTGGTTAACCGGTCCTGAATTTCTTTACGAAGATGAAAGTTCTTGGCCTACCTTCCCATCTTCTGCTAATGAGGTTACGCTTCCCAAAGAAGAACAACGTAAAATGATATTATTTTCAACATTACTCAATCAT